TATTTTGTTGATCAACTACCCATAACCCCAGATGATCAAGGTTGTTGGTAATTATTTTATCCTGACTAGATTTCTCTCTGTTCTCCTAAAGTACCGTATTTGCCGGCGTATAAGACGACTGGGCGTATAAGACGACCTCCCTACTTTTCCTGCTAAAATGTAGTGTTTGGGCTATACTCGCCGTATAAGACTACCCCTCTTCCAATGCACACCAGTGGGAGGAATAGTGCCCCATCATTGATGTCAGTGGGAGGAATAGTGCCCCATCATTGGTGTCAGTGGGAGGAATAGTGCCCCATCATTGGTATCAGTGGAAGGAATAGTGCCCCATCATTGGTATCAGTGGGAGGAATAGTGCCCCATCATTGGTATTAGTGGCAGGAATAGTGTCCCATCATTGGTATCAGTGGGAGGAATAGTGCCCCATCATTGGTATCAGTGGGAGGAATAGTGCCCCATCATTGGTATTAGTGGCAGGAATAGTGCCCCATCATTGGTATCAGTGGGAGGAATAGTGCCCCATCATTGGCATTAGTGGCAGGAATAGTGCCCCATCATTGGTATCAGTGGAGGAATAGTGCTCCATCATTAGTGTCAGTGGGAGGAATAGTGCCCCATCATTGGTAACAGTGGCAGGAATAGTGCCCCATCATTGGTATCAGTGGGAGGAATAGTGCCCCATCATTGGTATCAGTGGGGGGAATAGGTGCCCCATCATTGGTATCAGTGGCAGGAATGGTGCCCCATCATTGGTATCAGTGGCAGGAATAGTGCCCCATCATTGGTGTCAGTGGGAGGAATAGTGCCCCATCATTGATGTCAGTGGGAGGAATGGTGTCCCATCATTGGTGTCAGTGAGGGGGGTGGAATAGTGCCCCATCAGGGGTGGAATAGTGCCCCATCGTTGGTGTCAGTGGGGGGGAGGAATAGTGCCCCATCGTTGGTGTCAGTGGGAGGAATAGTGCCCCATCGTTGGTATCAGTGGGAGGAATAGTGCCCCATCATTGGTATCAGTGACACCAATGATGGGGCACTATTCCTCCCACTGAGACTTGCTGACCCTGTTCTCGTATGGTGCTGCTGCAGCCAGCATATGTGGTTGCAGCAGCACCTCTACACAGCACACTTACCTGCTGCTCCGGCACTCAATTTTCGCGGGGGCCGCTCGGCTCCGCCCCCTCGCCGGTGATTGGCCGCCTGTGTGCCTTTCCTGAGCTACAGTTCTGGCGGCCAATCACCGGTGAGGAGGCAGAGCCGAGCAGCCGCACGAACATCCAGTGGCCGAACTGAAGGAGACGCCGCGCTTCCTGGACCGGATCGTCGTGGGACTGGATCCAGGTAAGAGACATCAGCCCCTGCAAACCCCTGTACTTAATGCCGCAGCCCCCCTAACATGTGTACCGGCGTATAAGACGACCCCCGACTTTTGAGAAGATTTTCAAGGGTCAAAAAGTCGTCTTATACGCCGGCAAATACGGTACACCTCTAGACAAGCAGTTAAATACCACAGTTGGAATAAATGTGTATTAAGTGTTTAACCTGCCAAAGGATTTGTATTCAAGACTCAGCTAGTCTTGCAATTCACAAATGTCCATCACAGTTTTCAGCTAGGCTGGTGAGTTGCCTAGTTTATCTGTACAGCTCCCACTGTCAGCTCTCTACTTGCCAAAGGCTCGTTGAACAATTCCCTCCCATCCAATGAGAAGAGATCCTCAGAAGTGAACCAAAAAATAATAAATTCATTATAAATAAGTGTGTTATGTACCTACTGTATTTTCACAGGTCATACAGAGCTCTGTTATCTCAGTTTGACTCCACTAGGAGTGATGAATTGAATCTCCTAGATTGTAAGCTCCAAGGAGCAGGGTCTTCTAATCCCTCTTGTATTGAACTGTATTGTTACTGTACTGTCTCCCTCCATAATGTAAAGCGCTGAGCAAACTGTCGGCGCTATATAAGTCATGTATAATAATAATAATAATAGAGCCAAATAGAGAGCCAGGAACCCTACAGCACAGATCTTCAGGGATCTTATACACTGGAAAATGCGGGTGGGGTGCATTAAAATGCATAAAAATATCAATTACAATGTAAAAAAACAAACCTACATACTCACCTCTACGCTGCAGCATCAGTGTTAAGATGCAGTTATCCCAGGCTGGCTCTAAGACCAAGAACTGATTGATCACTTGTATGTTGAGCAGTCAGTTCTCAATATGCACATAGCAAGGAGCAGGGACTGTCAGTCACTACTTGGAGTGCTGCTCCTCCAGCATTTACTGAAGTGCCAGGCTGGAGAGGGGTCTGGCTCTCAGCCCCATGCTCAAAGGCAGAACCAGCTATCAATCTGGCAACTAAGTGGATCCTGAAAATTTTGTCAGTATCCTTTCCAAGCCTGGCGTGGCTCTGCCCCATCAGCTGGTTGCAGGCAACAACCTGCTATTAGCTGACTCTGGGTCACAGGAGGATAAACGTAAGTGTATTCCTGTAACCCCAAAATAAAGTATGAAGAAAAAAAAAATGTGGCTGTACTTCTCTTTTAGGCTCCATGCACACGACCTTAAAAAACACCAGTGCTCTTGTCAGAAAAAAAAGCTAATTTTGAGTGTTTTTTTGTACTAGAATTTAGGAGCATTTAGTGTTTTTTTTTCTGCCACAAAAATACTCTCAAAAATACAAAACAGAATCGGTTTTTTTATGCCTCTAAACACAGAGCTTAAAAACACTACCTAATGTGCATGGACACATAGGATAACATTAGTTGCTTCTACAGGCAAAACACTAAACTCCTTAAAAAACTTTTTTTAAGCCAATGTGCATGGAACACATTCAATTGTAAATTAAAGGTAACAATAAATTTCACTTATTTGCTGATTGTTGTTTTGATAAATATTCCATTAAAACATTTTAATATACCTTTTCAACAATGCAAAAAAAGAGCTGTTCACCCCGCCAGAAGCCTTGTGAGTGAATAACTTCCTGTGCTCTCTTACTCTAGACCAGGGGTCTAGCCAACCCCTGGCACTAGTGTCGGTGGTGGCACTCAACAGCATGAAGGATGGCACCCAAGTGGGCTGCACACAGAGGAAGCAGTGCGGCTGGTGCCTACCCACCTCTATTTTCCACTGGTGTTGGTTCCTGCATTGCTCTCTCCACACTGAGGCTGTGTAGAATCAAATTCCCCAGACTGCTTGTGCTCACTTTGAAAGGGTAATTATATTCACTATTTTTCCTCTTCTGTGGTACAGCACTCTTTTGGCCTGAGCCGGCTAGTGGGCAAACTTTTACTATCTGTGTACCTGCCCTCTCTCCAAAAATTTCTCTCCCTCAGCATCCATGTGCCTGGCTCAGCTTGGAGGAGATATAACCAGATAGGTTTATCTTCAAATGGCTTTTAACCCCTTCCACAGCAATATTTTATGAGTAACTCAATGCAAAGAAGGATTTAATGTGGAGGGAGAAGGGTTTTAAAGGCTGTTTTGGCATAACAGGTATTGGGCATTACTAATTTAGGCTTCATTCACATGGGCATTAGGCACGGTGTGAATGGCAGTGGCAGGAATCTGCTGATTTTATTTTTTGCCACCAGTGAGCTGCAGCCCATACAGTATACTATAATGACAGGTTACTGTAGCTATTTGTGATTGTTCACACAGTCAGTGATTACCTGCGGTGTTGGCTGCTGAACACACACTTTGTGTACATTGAGCAGCAATCACCACCGACATTCGCTAGTTGAGTGAACAGCCACAAATAGCTATGGCCGCCTGCAACTTGTCATAAAAGTGTATTGTACAGGCTCGGTGGCATCCAAATAGAAGGAACTACTACTTCAAAACAACGTTTAGAAACTACTGTTTTAGAACTGCTATTGGGAATTACAACATCAGAATAGATATTGGTAACTACCACCTTAGAGAAAGAAATTAGAAACTGCAGGAATTCTCCAATTCAGCTGCATAGTACAGGCGGTGCTGTCTTGACTGGAGCATTGACTGGTGTTCATTTCTGGAGCATCTGTGTGGAAATAGCCTGGTCCATTTATGCCAGTAAGTGCAGGAATTGGGGCTGATCTGAGACCTGAAAGAGCAAAAATTGGGGCTTATCTGGGGTGTGAAAGTGTAGGAACGGGAGTGAGCTTAGGTGTGAAAGTGCATTAATTAGGTGATCAGAGGTGTAAAGGTGCAGGAATGGAGTTGATCTGAGGTGTGAAAGTGCTTGATTTGGGGTAAGCTGAAGTTTGAAGGTGCAGTAAATAGGGTGATATGAGCTGTAAGGCTGCAGGAATTAGACATGATCAGAGGTGTAACAGTGTAGGTATTTGGGTGATCTAAGATGGGAAAATGAAGGAATTGGGACTAATCTGAGGCCTGAAGGAACAGAAATTGGGGCTGATCTGAGGTGTAAAAGTGCAGGAATTAGAGCTGATCTGAGGTGTGAAGCTGCAGGAATTGGGACTGGCCTTAGGCTTGGAGGTGCAGGAATTGTGATCAGAGTTCTGGGGGATCAAGATTTGGGGCTTATCTGAGGGCCGAAGGCACAGGAATTGTTGCTCGAGAATGGGGTGTGAAGTTGCAGTAATTGAGGTGAGCTGAGGGGTGACGATGCAGAAATTGGAGCTGATCTAAGGTGTGAAAGTGCAGGGATTGGGACTGATCTGATGTGTGAAGGTGCAGGAATTGGGGCTGATCTGAGGCCTAAAGGCACAGGAATTGTCACTGGAGAATAAGGTGTGAAGTTGCAGGAATTTGGATGAGCTGAGGTGTGAAGGTACAGAAATGTGAGCTGATCTGAAGCCTAGAGATGCAGGGAATGGGGCTGATCTGAAGTGTTAAGGTGCAGGATTTGGGGTGAGCTGATGTGTGAAGGTGCAGGAATTGGGGTTATATGAGCTGTAAGGGTGCAGGGATTGGATCAATTGATATATTATTATATATATATTTATAATCAGATGGGTAAAGATGCAGGTATTTGTGTGATCTGAGGTGTCAAAATGTTGGAATCGGGACTAATGTGAGACCTGAAGGAACTGAAATTGTGGCTGATCTGGGTTGTAAAAATTCAGGAATTGGGATGAACTGAGGTTGGGAGGTGCGCAAATAGGGGTAACCTGAGGTGTAAAGGTGCAAATATTGGGACTGACCTGAGGTGTGAAGGTGCAGAAATTGGGACTGATCTGAGGTGTGAAGGCGCAGGAATTTGGGTGATCCGAGATGTAAAGGTGCAGGGATTGGGGTGATCTGAGGTGTGAAGGTGCACAAATTGGGGCTGATCTGAGGCTTAGAGGTGCAGGAATTGTGGCTGATCTGAGGTCTGGAGATGCAGGAATTGGGGTGATCTGAGGTGTGAAGGTGCAGAAATTGTGATCAGAGTTCTGGAGGTTCCGGATTTGGGGCTTATCTGAAGCCTGATGGCACAGGAATTGTCACTGGGGACTGGGGTGTGAAGTTGCAGGAATTGGAGTGAGCTGAGGTGTGAAGTTGCAGAAATTTGGATGATGGTGCAGGAATTGGGGCTAATCTGAGTCCTGGAGCTGTAAGAATTGGGACTGATTTGAGGTGTGAAGGTGCAGGATTTAGGGACGATCTGAGGTGTGAAAGTGCAGGAATTGGGGCTGATCTGGTGTGTGAAAGTACAGGAATTGGGGTGATCAGGGGTGTAAAAGTACATACATGAGATGATCCAGCAGGTAGGGGTGCAAACATTGGTGTGAGCTGAGAAGTGAAGGTGCAGGGATTGGGGTGATCTATGGTGTGAAAGTGCAGGAATTGGAGCTAATCTGAAGTGTAAAGGTGAAGGAATTGGGGCTGATCTGAGGCCTGAAGAAGCAGGAATTGGGGCTGTCTGGGGTGTGAAAGTGTAGGAATTGTAGTGATCTGAGTTGTGAAGGTGCAGAAACTGGAGCTGATCTGAGGCCTGAGGAAACATGAATTGGGCCTGATCTGGGATGCAAAAGTGCAGAATTTTGGATGATCGGAGGTGTGAAGGTGCAGGAATTGGGGCTGATCTGGGATGTGAAAGCACAGGTATTGGGGTGATCTGAGGGGTAAAGGTGCAGGAATTGGGGTGACCTGAAGTGTGAAGGTGTAGGAATTTGGGTGATCTGAGGTGTGAAGGTGCAGGAATTGGTGTGATCTGAGGTTTAAAGGTGCAGGAATTGGGGTGATCTGAAGTGTGAAGGTGTAGAAATTGGGGTGATCTGAGGTGTGAAGGTGCAGGAATAAGGGCTGATTTAGGGTCTAAAGATGCAGAGATTGGGTTTGATCTGAGAGAACGTTGTTAGGGTGACCACTATCACCTCACACTTCATTCTAATGGTATATTTCGCAGAAGTCCTCGGTTGACATTCATTTTAACCTTACCATACTTCCTCACAGCACATGTGTTCTGGAAAAGGGGTAAGTTACCATTTACCATCCTTGAAAGCTCCATGTTTTCTTACTATAATGAATAGTTTACAGCATTTACTGTATAAAAATTCCTTTTCATGATTGTATGTGTAAAGTTTACATTTTTTATATAACCGGCACTCTCAACTTCTTCAAAAACATTTTTCGGCACACCATGCTCAAAAGCTTGCCTACCCCTGCTGTTGACTGTTGTCAGCTAGCATTGTTCCATGCTATCTCCATGAAATAGTGTTATGTAGTCCTAACACATTCCCTGTCCTAGGGTTACAACACTGCTCAGTACAGTTGTCACCCTAGGACAGTAAGTGAGTTAACGACAGGGGTACCAGGTTAAAATAAAAAAGAAACATGAAAAAAGTACACATATGCAATTATATACATTTTTGTTCTTTGGTTTACGAACACTTGAAGGTATGGTGTCAGGGGAATTCTGACATCATTGGGGCAATGTCACCTTAGGATCCTGCAGATTCTTAGTAAATCTAATTTACTGAGCACATATGGGAGCCTATGCTATTTTGCTGAGAGTCATGTTAGGGGGGTTGCCAGGCTTTGCTAAAAATGTAGCCATCCAGCTACGGTGACATGTCCAGCTTTACCCACAACAGAGCCAAGGCCAGGTAGGAGACCAAGAATAGGTCCACAGGCAATGTTACCTATATGTCTGGGAGCGTAAGGTCCCTTTAAAAATGCATATAACAGATGGCATAGTTATCCATCTGTAGCTCCAATTGCAGGTCACAGTGGTCAAACCAATTACATGGGGCTTAACCTAGCTTTCACTGTTTTCATTTTTTACAGTCAGTCTTGGGACTTTCTTAAATTGATTTCTGGTATACAGTTGAAAGTCACCTATTTAGTTTGATAAAGGACACCAGCCACCCCCACACAGATATAATATGACAACATTTGACTATAAATGGTACACTTGCTAACAAAAAGCAGCTTGAAAGGGAAAAGTAACCATCATGAAGACAACTACCATAAAAAAAAAGGTGCCTACTGTCTACAGACAGTATATTCAGCGACCCATGGAATATCCACACCATCATTTGATATCAAGTAAGTTAATTGGTGATTTTATCTTGATTGGATTTCTCTAGGACTGAAATGACCTACATTGTATATAGCGTGTTTCAAATAATATTGAATAAAAATTCATACAATAAGTCATACTCAGCAGCAGCTAAACAAATATACTTGACCTTGATGAGTGAAACAAAACATTTATTCATTACTACCAGTGCATGTCCATATCATATAAAGGAAAGGTTTAAAGCCAAGTGCTTTTGTGTAATGCTAGTAAAACTGGTGTCACTTCTAGTATTGTGTAACAGGTGATAAAGATGTATCACAATTCGTTTAAATAAATAGTAAGATAGAGAGCCTACCGTGCTCAGTATCGAGCATTTTGTTTACCTTAAAGCTGAGTTCATACCTTTCAGTATACATTATGGATTTTTTTACACATTCGTTCTGTGCTATTTGGCTGGGTTGTCTCAAATGAAATAAGTAAAGTGTTGAGTATTGAGTAAAGTTGAGCTTGCTATGAGAGGGGTTGGTTGAAATTTATTGGAAACACGCTAAAAAAACCTTAATATGTTTGTTTTTACACACGGCCTTTGCAATCAATGGGGTTTAAAAAAATGCACTACTGCACTAAAAAATAATTGCCAGTATTATTTGGCGATGCAACACACATCCGTGAATTAGCACAATTGAAATTAATGGCAAAGCTGTGCACATGTGCTCACTCTACACTACTTGAAACAAAACTGTATCAACATATGAAAATGCAAAAAAACAAAAAATCCCACCATGCAGAGAATATACAGTATACAGTATATATATATATATATATATATTTTTTTTTTTTTTTTTTTTTAAATATATACCACACTGTTGGCACTTTAACCAACCTAATAAATTAACTTCCAACTGTTTTGATTGATGGAATTACATTTTCTTGTGCACATGCATTGATACACACTGGGATGCACACATTAAAACGCAAAGGCTTGAAACAGGCCTACAGTATATAGAGGGGCACCATTTTCTGTGTTTCAAGTGCACATCCAACCAGGTCAGCGCACTTCCATTTTCTTTCACATAGTAGCATACATGACAGTTCAGAGACTGTGTTTGACCTTTTTTGCCTTACACGTCAATTCTTTGGATACAACAGGTTCTATTGCAGTACATTTGAAATTCAGGTCAAACAAAGCATTTTCTTGTTGAATCCTTCATTTTTTAATCGATGTATTGATTAGCACAGCATTCCAATGGAAAAGACTGCATTTAGAAAAAAAACTCTAATTTTATTTAATGTGTTTTGAAATTTGTTAGATCTTCTTTATAATAGGTTCATAGGTAGGGATAAACTGAAGGTACCATGGTTAGGTTGGAGGCAGGTTCAGTGAAGGTTACAGAAGTTTGGGAACCAAATCTGAACCTCATTGTGCCCATACCAGCCCACATGCTTGTTGCCACGCCTATGTTTAGCATTGGTGATCAGGCACTATAACTGTCTTCTATGTTCTTCACCTTAGCAGCCCCTTAACAATAAGGCAAACAGGCCTACTGGTACTCGGATGCCTCCAGGTCTTATACACAATGCTATAATGCCTGGATACCATGCCGGGGCAGGTGAAAGCTAAGTACAGTGAGTAGTACTTGTGGTTGGCAGACAAATGGAGTGGTCCAGTGGCAGTCTGGGTCCTGTGCAGGCAGCGATCACAGAGAAGTCAGGGTCAAATCTCTGGTCAAAAGGCAGGCTGAGTTCAGAAAGTTGCCCAAAGTTCATTCCGAGGTCAATAACAAGGAAATCCAAACTAGCTGGCATGGCAGGGCTTGGGCGAAGTTGAAGGTCAAGGCATGAAACAAGACAGGAAAACAGGGAACTTGAAGTATGTATTGCATGCACTATCACAAGCATGACACTAAGGGGTTTAACTAAAGCTGGAGAGTCCAAAATCAGACTCCCTTCTGCATAGAAACCAAACATCAGCTTCCAGGTTTCATTGTCCAAAGCTTCATTGAACAAGCTGAGGTTAGAAGCTGATTGGTTTCAGGCAGAAGGGAGTCTGCACTCTCCAGCTTTAGTCAATAACCCCTAAGGGCTTAAAACAGGTTAAAACACCACCCAGAATTTGTGTCTAGCATTCACCATGCAGGTGAACAGTCAGGCTGAGTGCAGCTCTGTCAAAACCAGGATGCTGAAATGAGACCATCAGCTACCATGGGTCAGGAGCTTCTGACACCTGTCAAATAACCTTTGCCCCCATGCTGACAAACAAAAGGGCATGTTCCACACAACTCTGGCACAATGATTATGTAGGTCTACAGGCAGGGGGGCTTATCAATTTATGGAAGCCTTCTTTAACAATAAGTTATATATGGCACCTATACTGTCTGTTACCATTGTTGAGACAAATCCATAAAAAAATACCACCATCATGTTGGTGATAAGGGAAATAAAGGTAAAAAGGATCTCTTCCATGTTGGAGTAATTTGTGTCTCACACTCAGACAATTCTATGATGGATACATATACACCTTACTGACATGTGCATGAGTCTAAATCATAATTGCATCACTAAAAATAATGATAATATATCAAATAGCAATATAAGGTGACAAGTGAAAAAGCGCTAACAGAGAGCGCAACAAAGTGACAATAGTGCATCATCCTATATGGACGAAAATCAGTGACATAAACGCACAATATAAACGTATATTAGTCCACAAGATATTCTTCCTTAAAAACGTGGTTATATCATTCAGTGTGTGCGGGTATTAGCCGCTCCTTACAAGATTCAAACAAAATAAGGTGCTTGTGACTCCTTGTGGATAAGAAAAATTAGGTGTGCTTGCACTCACCAGACGCACACTCAAAATGTGCATGTAAATGGTATTCAGGAGAGCACTAGTGGTCATCTAGGAACCGATTGGGATAAGGCACTTCTCAGGTACTCGTTACACCCTGAAACGGACTCCAAACCTCTCTGTGGGACCCTCACAGCAAAAAGGACAGCTCCTCGGTGTTAACTCCACCCGGCTTCACAGCAATTTGACAACGCTGGATATCCACCTTATAACAGCTCCAGGCATAAGCCACCAGAGAAAAGCTAATATGGTGTAGTATTTTATTTTAGCCAATGGTAAAACAGCTTATATACTTATTGTGGCTGTTAGAAGCATATAAGAGAGCTTAGTCCAGTAGGCATGTTTATAAAAGTAATAAGCCAGCAATATAAAGGTATATGCTAGAAATAGCAAAGAATCCTGCTGGAAGGTAAATGTTGAAAACATAGCACAAAATCAATATGTAGTGTTAAAATGGCTGCCAGCCTTGCACATGGACCTGGCAGCGTGTGACGTCAGCACGGCAAGCTCCTTTCTGGCACGTTTGTGCACTAGCATGTTGATCCATTTGACAACGTGCTGGTGCACGAAACGCATCAGCAGGAACGAGAAGTGCGTCAACGAGTACCTGAGAATTGCCTTATCCTCATCGGCTCCTAGATGACCACTAGTGCCCTCCTGAATACCATTTACATTCACATTTTGAGTTTGTATCTGGTGAGTGCAAGCACACCTCATTTTTCTTATCCACAAGGAGTCACGAGCACCTTATTTTGTTTGAATCTTGTAAGGAGCGACTAATACCCACACACACTGGATGATATAAGCACATCTTTTTAAGGAAGAATATCTTTCGGACTACTA